CCCCCCTATGGCTGTTTTGTCAAACTTTGGCCATTTAAAGATGGGTGGACATCACCCCCCGGATTCCCCCGGCAGGCTTGGCTGGCTGGGGAATTCTGGGAGTTGATGTCCACTCATCTTAAAGTGGCCAAGTTTGGACAACACTGCATTAGGGGGTTAATGAACATGCTATTTTATTTACTGAATTTCAGAGCTACTCTTGAAGAATTTATTTCAAGGAGGCTTTGAATTTAAAATGTGATCATCAATTCCTCATCAGTATAGCTGAAGAAAAAAAGACTCACCACATAGACCTTTTTATCTCCATTAGTAAGTGGAAATTCCTCTTTGTACCACTGGTACTGAGGCACAGGGATTCCTATCGCTTCACACTGAAGAACTAACATTTCTCCAACCATCAAGTTTTGAGATTGTGGGTGCAGGCAGATACGTATTTTCTTTTCAGGCAATTCAAAGTAGTTTCCTTAAATTGAAGATTTTAAACATTCGTAACCTGAAAGTCTTTTCGGCAAAGCAATAAAGAGAGGCAAGATTTGCAGAGCAGAAGCAGTCAGCAAAGGACAATTTCTTCGGCCACGTTGTACCCTCCACAGTCACTTCCCCCGTTTATTTGCTGAATCTAATTTAAAGGAAGTGGGTGGTTTTGAGAAGAGAGCAACAAACTGTGTGCTTGTCCCTTTAGAGAAGAAATCCAATATACTGAGTTTAAAAAGGTACTAGTTTCTCAGGCAATTTGATTTGTATTAAATTATTTGCCATGTTCATATTCTGGGAACTACTCAATGGTTAATGCATTTTCTTGCATTAAAGCAAAAATATTCCTGTAGGTAACATACATTAATGTGAAGGTGCTAATTCATTACAGAAGTACTTAATTATGTTTGATATTAATAAATTGCAAGTATGGCTACACTCCTATTTCATGCACTATAAAACTTACCTATAAAACTATAACTATTGCCATGCTTAATTACATATTCTTCCTTAATGAGAAATAACCTTACTAGAATTGTAAGAGCTGTAAAAAGACTCAAATATATTATTCTCTCGACAAGCAATTGCTTAAGTGAACTTCCACCAAGATACATCTGAGGATAATATTTTAGTCACTTATCATTTTAATATTACAATTAGCAGCCGAATGACATTGCCTTGCAAGAGTGATCAGAAATTGCAGTTAATCCAGAATAGTACAGCTAGATTAGTTGGTAAAGCATATAGAGGTAAACATGCTTCAATCTTATGTCATTTGCCCTGGCTCCAACTGTTATTGGGCCCAATTCAAGATGTGGATCTTACCAACAAAGCTTTAAATGGATTTAAATACTTTCTCCAGGGATTAGATAAGTCTTTAGTTACTCAGTTTCCAATGAGAGATAAAGACTTTACAGCTTCATTAGATGGTTTTTAATATATGATCTAAAACTTGGGGTTTTTTGAAAGTTATATACACAGTTAGCTAAATTGCTTTAATATGTGTTTTTTATATTGTCTTAAGATCCTTCTGACTAAAAGGTAATCTATAAATATTTTTAAAAACCACTAAGGAATAAACATGCAAGGTCTCCAGGTAAATACTGAGAAAAAACACATTTTAGGCTTTATCAAGACTTTAAGCTTTTGTGGACCTCCTGAAAGTACATGAAACCAGTAAAGCATTATTTCCAACACAGATGCCAGATGCTTTTAATGTAGTTGTATCAGCACACACTGATTTGTATTTCCTGAAACTGCAGCCATCTCTATGGCTAATGGAGAAAATTCTATGATTCTATAATAAGAGATCCTATGGCTTCATAGCCATTCATAATCACTATTATCACAACTTTGAAATGAAGCTAGAAAATCAGTATTCCTCCTATTTGCATCTAGCTCTTATCATTTTTACGATGTAAAAAATTTGTAACCCACCATCAGAATCTCCTTGGCTATCACAAACTTCCAATTGTGCCCATCGGCTGAACTCATAGGAGGAATCGCTGTTCACTCGACATATGTATAATCCAGTATCATCTACAGTCACTTGGTTGAACACCAGTTCTGGGGAATTCCCATTTGGAACCTGAATTAGGATGCATGAAAAAGAGACTGCACATATTGCCACAATATGGAAGATAGTGAAAAATAAAACACAATAGTGTTTAGCTATATTACACACAAAAGCTGGTTTTGTAGATTGTTTGGTTTAAACGTAGAGTGATTGGTAAATTCAGCCATTGTTCTGTGTTAAGCATTATTTGTAAACCAGTAGAATATAATTTCAGCAACGATCAGTTTGGGATTCCAGGCCAAAGTGTTTCCTGTCTGAACATAGTAAGTAAGGAAAAGGAGATCTTAAGCCCTCAAGATTTTAAAATTAATCTTCATTCTACAAGAAACGCAGCATAAATGGGATTATTCCATTTTATCAACACAACCACGCTGTTAAAACAGATTAAGCTGGAAGGCAATGAGGTGGCAAAGGCTCCCTAATAAACTTGCAGATGAGCAGGGATTTAATTGAAGGTCTCTCCAGTTCAGGACCAAGACTAAGAACACAAAGAAGAGATTCTAAAGCATTCTTGAGATCCAGCGTGTTGACATTTCATTCATTCATTCATTCATTCATTCATTCATTCATTCATTCATTCATTCATTCATTCATTCATTTTACCACCTTATAAGCCATCTCAGTCACAACAGTAACTCTAGGTCAGGGTTTCTCAACCTTGGCAACTTTCAGATGGGTGGACTTCAACTCCCAGAATTCCCCAGCCAGTTCTGAGAGTTGAAGTCCACCCATCTGAAAGCTGCCAAGGTTGAGAAATACTGCTCTAGGCAGTTTACAAAGCATAAATAAGTTGTATTAAAATACAAGGCAAGAGAAATCAAGCAAATCACAGTAAAACTGTTAAAACCCATGTCAGAGAAACAACAAAACCAGTTACACACCATAAAACAAAGATCAACAAGTGAGGTCACAAAACACCCTGCTGGAAAAACCAGGTCTTCAAGGCTTCCTGAAAACACAAAAGAGTTGGGGCCATAAAAAGTCCAGGGGAATGCTATTCAAGAAGGCAGGGACTGATTTCTGAGACATAGAGACATCAGGCCAGAATTATAAGTCAACACAGCAGTGTTTCTTAACAAAGTGAAGTCTGGGAAGTTACAATATCATTCAGCATCATAGCCAATTTATTAGTAAAAAAAGTACTGAACCCCTGTTCGAGCACCAATACGCTTTCAGTTTTACATTTCTCAGGAATAAAACAGCAAAACTCACACGGTATTATGAACAATATTAGAATAATGCTTGACATTTCTACTTTACATTATTAAGCTTTGTGAGAGTACGGTGCCAGAATGCTTCCTCTATGCAATTATGTGCTAGTTTAATTAGCCACTGTATTTTAAAGATAGCATAGAAGTGAAACACTCTTTTGTAGCCTTGGTTCAAACTACTTCAATATATCCTTCACGCTCTCTGTAATTCCCAAGGATTCAAACAAATCAGAATTGGTAAAGCGAATTACCCATACATAAAAAAGAACAAGTATCTATTATTTGTAAAGTACCCTGTAGAATTAGTTTCTTAGTTCAGAATTTTCTTTAATGGAAACTCATAAATATTTCTTCAGAATTTCTTAGTTCAGAGTTTTCTTTAGTGGAAAGTCATAGATATTTTCTTTTCTTCAGAAATTAATTTAACTTAACACCTTGAGGTCAATATGGACGACAGCTCATTGAACAACTGCCGTTGCCTTTAAAGTCCATAGAAAGGGCAATCACGTTATTCACAGGATCCCTTGCTTAGAAAGAGAAGCAAATGATCACAGCAGTTCTCAGAATAAAATAGTGGTAAAATAGTGATTTCTTAACAATCAGATTTTTATGGTCACATTGAACATGGTCAGACCAATGTTGTTAACCCTGAACCTACGGAAAGAAAATGGTTTGTGAAACTGCCAGGACAGCTGAATCTAAGTAACAACTCCTTGGTGGACTTTGGGATTATATCAGTTCAACAACGGCTGGATGATGCCATGAAAATACTATAAGTTCCTAGTGGGGAAATGACTTAATAATGAACATTTCCTTACTAAGGCTTAATAACTTAGTACAGATAGAATACATAGGACTGCAGCCTAATATGGTAATACATTTCCGTGTACACAGCATACAATTAATTCAATTAATTAAATACCTATTTTGGATGTCGTTTTTGAGAATGGGAAAATTCCACACTGTACACACAGATCAAAATAAAATCAAACATTACAGATGAAGAGTACTTAGACTTCAACAGTAGTGAAATTTCAAGTTCTGCCAAATGCAAGTGTTTACCAGTAATAAAATCATATAGCATTAACAGGCATCTTGTTCAGCACTGCTTGATGTAATAGAAATGTTTTGTCTGGAAATAAAACAGTTATATTCATATTTCAGTTACACTTTATAAACACCCATTCCAGAACATTTTTATGAGTGCTGCCAAGATCCCTGCAATATGCTGACTTTCAATGTGAAATTACTATTCCTCAGATATGAAAAACACATTTTTTAAAACACCATAGGAACTGAAAAAACAGTATTTGGCTTTAAGAAGTAAGTTTAATTTCCATACATTTTATCCCAATTATATTTTCAAAATAACTTCAAAAATAAGAAGTTGGAAATTATTTTGTAAGATGACCAGTACAGTGTCATGGTGTCAACTCTTGACATCTTGTGTGAGATGGGTGGCCACATAAATTTGATTAAATAAATAAATAAACCCTTCAATGTAGACCAGACTAGGAGACCAAAGGCATGCAAGTCAAGATTACTTTTATTATAAATATATAGTAGCAGAATCTTGCAGGTGTGAATGTATTTCCCCTCTCCCTCCCTTTATCTTTGTGAGAACTAGGGAGGGCTTGTCTGAGATGTTTTCTCAGGTTACAGTTCTGCCCCGCACCCAGGTTTCTTTTAGCTGACCATTGTCTCGGTAGCGGCTCGTCCTCCTGTCCCATAAGGCCATTCCCTCTGCCCATTACACATGGTCATGGGACAAGATATGGACAATGTAAACACATCAAAGGACTTTAAGCCAGTTTCTCTCTCAGCCTACCCTACGTAGTGCATATGTCACCTTCAGTTCGCAAGAGAGAGGTGGATATAAACACTATAAATAAAATAATAATAATAATAATAATAATAATAATAATAATAATAGATATAGAATACATAAGAGTCTAACATCCCATAGTGTACATAAGCTTTATGTTGTAAGGAAAAGATGAATGAAAATTGCATTCATTATGAGACTAGAAGTCTTATACGGACTTTTTGTTGAAAGAAGAAAAGACTGAA